TCGTAAAAGGCTCAGACGACGCGCAAATGCGCGTCAAGGAAGGCTCTGTCATAAAGAGAGACGACGCGCATTTACGACGCTCATTTACGACGCGCAATTACGACGCGCGTTTACGACACGCAATGCGTATCAAGGAAGGCCCTGTCATAAAGAAAGATGACACGCATTCGCGTGTCGTAACCTTACGTCGCGCGTGTTAATGACACGCAATGCGTATCAAGAAAGCCCCTGTCAAGAAAGGCCATGTCATAAATGAAGATGACATACATTTTTGCGTATCATAATTTTAAATGTTTAAAAAAAATATTATTTATAAATTTACTTATTTTCAAATTAAATTTATATTTAATGTTTCATAATAGAAAATAAAATATTATATACAAAAAATAGAATCCATTGCATAAATTTAATGTCATACAAATAATCGTTCCATGGAATGATAAAACAAATCAATAAAAGTTGTAACAAAAATTTACAAACTAACTAGATACAAGAAATATAAAAAAATATACCCTCAAATGTTTTTCAAAGTCTAATATCCATGTTAGCTTTTCAACTCACTTCTGCAACCATTGGTGGTTGTTGAGTTCACCCGACATCCTTGTTGGAAAAATCAGGGTTTCCTTCAACTTTTCTCACTTTGTCCACACCCTCAAGCCTCTTTACTGTAGCCTCATGAAACCTTAATCTCAATTCCAATCCTTGTATCTCATCTTCCCTTTGTTTTGCCCACAAATACCCCAACAGACCACAAATCAACTGTTGCACCTACAACAACGGAATTAAGTGTTTCAACTTTCAACTATATAAGCAATAAGCAGAAAGACATTTGAATAAAGGGTAAAGGGTAAAGGGTATAACTGTAAATTCCAACCATTCCCCATAAATAAAGGTACTGTTTTCTGATGCACACCCTGATAAGTCCTCTATACTATATATATTATATATATATATATATATATATATATATATATATATATATATATATATATATATATATAGGCAAGCAACTTTTTCATTATAGAAGAAGAAGAGGGTTGAGACTAGTAATACCTGGCTAGATCTAAATGCGCTTCTCTTGTCACGACGTTCACACATCACACATGCATGGCTCAAATTTTATCTCCTGATAAATCATGAACACATAAATATGATTTCACAAACAAACAAACATGCAATGCAATGCAAGAACACCAGAAAACATACCTCATAGAGTTCGATTTCTTCATCCAGACTAAATCCAGCCCTCTCATTTAATTTTTATGTAATTTTAGTTGATTTACCAGAACTCTTGACAAAAAACCTACCAACATATCTCCAAAAATAATATAACATATGATATGATTACACAATAACCCCATCCCATTAGGCTACTGAAAGATATAACTAACTTGTTGAAAGTACTTGAGTTCTTCCTTCACGGGATCATAAAGCTTGAAGAAAATAAGTATATCATCCTTGCTTTTCTCAGGTGGTGGAAGAGGATGCAACAAATCCTGAAAACAATGTTCGGTTCTTAATCGGGAGAATTAGGAAATTCAAAGGTACCAGACCGACCAGAGTGAATATCAAATCCAATGCAAATACAAACTGTTCTACATTTATACTATACATGATATTATAATATATATATATATATATATATATATATATATATATATATATATATATATATATATGATACTTACAACTCTGTAATAAAAAAAAGATGCAACAAACAAAATTCAGAAACTATTCTGCATGGCTATACTATGTAAGGGCATGTTTCTTTCTTTTTCTTAAAGTGTTGTTTTGAATGGATAAGTGATGTTTCTTTGGAATAACTGATATAGAGTAGACAAAGAGTGTTTCTTTTTTGGAGTGAATTACCATTTTACCCTTGCATCTATAAATAATGCTTAATAGCAAATTACTATTTATCTGAGAACTATTATGACTTAAAATTGTAAACGACAAATCATAAAAATTGGAATATACTTAAAAAAAACAATTGCTATAAATAATGATACAAATGCAATCATAGTTGGTCAAGATATCATTAAGTAACTTGAATAAAAAAGAAACAAGTACTTGTTGGATTAGTGTCTAAGTCCATAACTATTTTGGTATGTACTTGACCGGATGGTGCATGGTCCTTTTGGGTTGCCTTCACCAAAGCAACTTGATTGGAGAAATGAATAAAGAGAGAAAGGATAATATGATTTATTAATATGTTATAAGAATAATATATTAAAGGAGAAATCATATTTGTTTAATTAATATTGGTCAATAATTAATTAAGAATTAGTTTTGTGATCAAATGTAATTAATTAAACTAGAGGGGCTGATTTGTAATTATGTGATAGTTACAAAATAAGGTAAGGATTATCTTATTTATATGGTGGACGAATTTAAGGTTGGAAAGCCTTAGAATTCGAGTATGATAAGGATTCAAGGATTATCTTATTGGTTGCTTAATGGATAATCAACTAGATAAGGATAATGACTGAAACCCTATCTCTACACCTATATAAACACCCCTAGGGTCATGAATTCGTGTATCCCTTCCCAAGAGGTCCTAGATACGAATTCTAACCTCTCACCTCTCTCTTTATACCTTCTCCACTTGCTTATGGTGTTTGTAAGCCATTAGAGGAGTGACACTTGTGACTCCAAGCCTTCCAAAGTCAATACAAGGAGGAATTAGGATTGTTATTGCTACATAACAATCAAGGTATGATCTTAAACCTAATTACATATTAATATGATTACTTGTATGCTAGAATTAGGGTTTATAGTCTTGGATTCAAAGCATGTACAATAGAGAAACCTAGATCCAAGCATTAGGGTTTGTATGAGCACATAGGATGTCTTATGACCAAAACCCATCAGTACTAAGTCCTATATGCGTCTGAAAGGACTAAGTCATTTCAAGATTTGATAAGAAATTAAAAAATTATGAGAAAACTAGTAAACTTCAAATTTAGAATGTGAAAGGGAAACGGAAACAACCCAGCCACATTAATTTGCAACAATCCACAAGTCATATATGGATTGAAAAAGTACCAAAAGGGACGGAGTACAAAATGGAAAAATCATAAACAGATTACCGAAAGGGAGAAACAAACAAGTTAATTGCTTGAAAATTTGTACCTCGTGAGATTCAAGGGCTGAAATCAAGGTTTTAAAAATGTAGTTCGTTGTTGGAGGGTCTAAGGTGTTATTATCATGTGGCTTTTTGAGCTTGAGCTTACTCTTTTTAACAACCATTTCCACCTGCATACACAAACACAAACAGAAACATATCCAGTTATGCTGAAAGATTTTTCAAATTGTTGATTAATTTTTTTTCATACAAACCCAACGCCACCTGTCCATCCTTCCGGTGGCTTCACAAATACAAAACCAGGCCCTTTATTTTAATTTATATTTTATAATAAACCCAAAAATTATTAGGTTTAATTCAATGCAACAAACAACAACCTACTATCATTGATTTGTTTATCATAGGTTTTTTGTTACTAAGAATAATACCTACCTGATTCAATACATAGTAGACTTTGAACCGGTTAGGGTAATTAGAAGTCCCTCCATGGAACTTAAAAAAAACGTTTTAAAGATCCTAACTTTATTCAAAAGATATAGAAAAAGGTTAGAACTTAAAAAAAAAAGTTTTAAAGATCCTAACTTTATTCAAAAGAAGAAGAAGAAAAGACTCACTTCAATAGCTCAACCAATCTTGGACATACATTTGCTTCAATAACAGCTTGGATTTTATCATTTGTGCCATCTGAAAGATATGAAAGAGCCCAACAAGCATCTATCAAAACTTCTTCATCGTTTGAATGAATAAGTTGCTGTAAAGCTGGAAGTGCAGGTTTTGTCTGTGAAAAGTCAAGACAAATCAGAATTCATCATTACAAATGTTGAAAAGATAGACCCAAAAGAACTATGTGGGTAGTTTAGTCTTTTCAGAAACAAACCTGACTAAAAGAAGGTTGTGGTTTGCCTCTGCAAAAGTTTGAAAGTGTCCATGTGGCATTTCGCAACATGGATAACATAGCATGCTCGTTTAATTGGGATAGTAGAGGAATCAAAGCACCTTGTGCAAGTACAAGGTCACGACATTTAGGGGAATCACCAGCAACATTTCCTAAATCCCATACAGCCTAACATGTAGATAAAGTGAAATTGAAGTCATGATAATGAATTTGTGAATTGAGTTTATGAAATACAAAAACCTCTAAAAGATACCTGTTCTCTAACATCATCACTTGGAGATGCAAGAAGCTTCACAAATATTGGAACAACACCATGATCAATCACCACTTTTGTGTGTTCATATGTCCCCGAAGCAATATTAGTCAAAGCCCAAATCATAACGATCCTCTGTAAAAAAGTTAGAAATAGATATAGTAGATATATAATTGAAACCCTCCCCGACTAGAAAAATTACCTTTCCATGCCCTAAAATGATTGAAAATGATAGTGGAGCGAGTACTCTATGACTACATTCATAATCATCACGGAAGATTGAGGTATCCATAAAATATGAAATGGAAAAATCATTTTTTACAGAACACTCGCAAATCAGATGACGAATCTAACAAACATAGGATGGAGAAGTGTGGTGAACCAGAGAGAAGACGAAGGGTGGTGGGTGCCTGGGTGGTTGTCGAGCAGTATGGGGTAGAGAGAGAGAGTGTGTGTGTGTGTGTGAGAGAGAGAGAGAGACTTGTAGATTAAGACCATGGCGGATGAGGCATTTTATCAAACATGTTGCATGCATCATCGATTCTTCCCCATTTACTGTATAAGTTGATTTCTCGATTTCTATTTCTCTTTCTCCCATTCCAGTCTCCGACTTTCTGTTGCTGTGATAGAGAGTTTCCTTCCGTCGCTGGGATTTGAGTAGTGCCACTACTCCTCCGAAGGCTCTGAGTTTTCTCAGTCTGGGTCACTAGACCTAATGTTGCTGGCAAGGGCAGGCGAGGTGAGATTGCCGGAGATGAAGGACTCCATCGGCTGGGTGACGCTGGAAAGCATTGGACGGTGGGGCGGGGCTAGATGGAGGTCAGAGGTGGGAGGCTCCAACACCAAGAGAAATGTCGGAGGTGAGAGAAGTTGTCGACGTTGAGAACCGAGAAGAAGAGAAAGGGTTTGTCGAAGTGAGAAGGAGAGAAAGGGAAGTTGAAGAGAGAATGAGCAGTACACGAGGGCATAATCGGGGCAAGTTCTTGAAAAAAAAGCCCTAGCTACTAGGGAAATTAAAGTGGAGGGAGAAAAAAAAGGAAGGCGGGATTTTAAGTTTTTGGGATTTCATTTTCCCCGGATGGAACCCGCGCGTTCTATTAAAATTTATAAAGCGACGGTCGTAGACGACACGCAGGTGCCCTCCGTGTTTTTATTTTTTTTTGTTTAGACACTAATTTTAGGGCACGCAAAAATGCGCGTCTGAAATCCTTTAAATTTTGGAAGAGATGACATTATTTTTAGACACTCACCTTTGCGTATCATAAATAACTACGTGTCATAGTTCGCACGTCGTAAAAGGCTATTTTTCTAGTAGTGTACTTGAAAATATATGCACACAGATTCTTAATCTGTTTTGGATTCATAGAAACCAAATAATAAAGGAGTGATGAATTGCATGAGGAAAAATAATACTTAAATTGATTAAAAGAAACCAAACCTCAATTTATCAAAGTTAGATAGGTGAAACTTGAAACTTATGAAAGATGATTTACCAAATTAAATTTACTATTAAACTTGAAGGGTCAAAGATGTAACTTTCATTAATTTGCTTAAAAAGATATAGAATGGAGAACGAACCCATGTCACACAATTAATTTGCTTAAAAATGGGGATCGAACCCATGTGACATGGAAAAATAGGCGCATAGATGAGCGCTTTAGCAGTTAAGCTAACCGAAGTTTAGTTTCTTACTTGAGCAATATACATAAAATGACTAGACAATTTTTATTAAAACAAGAGCCTTATTTTTTTCCGGGTCTTCACACCTTGCACACCCTTAGGGCTGGCCTGCTCCCACCAACACAAAGCACCACCATTGGCCATCACCTCCCCCGTCATTGTCTCATATTCGCAGTGAACCACCACCTCCGCTTTTTCGTCTTCGGTGACGTGATTCCGTCGATTCTCTTTTGTGTTTTTTGCTTAGATCTATTTAGATCTGAATGCCTCTATTTCCTCATCTCTAGTGGTATTCTTAATCTAGATCTGGTAAGATCTACAACCTCCGTCGATGTCCATAAAACAGCTCTACTCAAACTTCCTCCTCCACCTACCATCGAAGCATGTCGTCGGCCTCCAAGAGTTTTCGTTTTCATCATATCTAGAGTGGTTCGGTCCAGATCTATTATCTCTGGCAATAGATCTACGATCTACAACGACAAATATACAATTTTTGCCTCTAAATTTATCATTTACGCCTTCAGAACTTTGTGCTTCAACCAGATTTGCTCTGGTGATGTTTCATAGAGATCTACAAAAAAAGATGGAGACGAGAAATCGGTTGCCTCTAAATATACTGGTCGCTGCTTATTTTTTGATGTCGCTCGCGATCACAACTCCGACCGTCTCAAGCTCTAATCGAACTTGACCATCGGCCGTCGGTGCTACAACTGGAAAAATGCGCTGCTTCTCTTGCATTTGATTTATATTTAGGTATGTCTTTCTCCTTTTTTTAAACTTCAGGTTAAGTTGCTTATGGCGTATGCATGCAAAGTCTACCTACATATTAGAAGAATCAAAGTTTAAACCTACTTTAAAAAAAAGGCTAGCATTACTTTTGTAGCAATTATGTTTGACATGAGTTGTCTTGTTCCTAAGTATAATAAACAAATGTAACTATTAATTTAATTTATTATAATAAAATCATACTGAATAATATATGTTTGAATAAATAATAATATATGTTTGAATAAATAGATTGACGTGAATCTAGAAATAATATACATATTTATGGATTTAATGTAATGAAACCAAAAGGATATACTCTTGTTGTTAGATATAATAAATGATTATGACTATTAATTTAGTTTACTTTTCTGATTTATTTTTTATATATATTATTTGTCTTTGTCGCTTATAGATATATATAGTTAGACAAAATTGCAAAAATAGTCTGGTATTAATTTTTTTGGAGTTTTAATCCAAATCATGATTTTTTTGTGAAAATAATCCATCCAAAATGACTATAATACCCTTAGGGTATTTATTTTTGATTTTTTATTTCATCTTTTTTATATTTCATATTTATTTATTTATTTTAATAATTAAAAATAATAGAGGACATCTCCCCCCTCTCTCTCTCTCTCTCATGAACATAACACCAAACATCTCCTCCCCCCCTCTCTCTCTCATGACCATAACACCAAACACAGAACCACCACCACATCCATGAAAAAACGATGTGAATCTCGAGCACCACCGCCACCAAAATTGTAACACTACCACTAATTCGAAGCTACCTTGAAAGAAAACAAAAGTTTAAGAGATCTCAGTCTCTGTATGGAAGGAAAAATCTATAAAATCTCGAACCATAGTGTCAGTTCCTTCTAGTGTTGACCAACATCCATTCTGAAGGAAGAAATCAGATGAAAACTCGATGATAAGAACAGAAGCATCCTACCCTTTTAGCCCTGCAAATTTAGTTTCCAAATAGATCAGCGAATTGCTCCTTTTAAAATACACATCATCGGGCGTGTTTGGCACGGAGCTTTTGGAAGTGTTTGGGAGCTTCTAGCTTTTAGCTTTTGACAAAACGCTCTAGTTTAAACAAAAAGCTTCGTTTGGCAGTACGAGCGTTTAGCTTTTAGTTTTAACAAAACGCTCCGATTCTAAAAGCTACTTCATGTAGCTTTTAACAAAACGCTCCGGAGCTTTTGAAATCAATTTCCGTAATTACCCTTAAAAATATATTTATATATTTTTTTATTTTTAATAAATTGTTCTTTTATGTAATTTTATATATTTCAAAAGCTTCTAGCTACTTTTGCCAAACATTCATATAACAAATAAAAGCTACATCTTCCCGCTACCAGCTACCAGCTACCCGCTACCAGCTAACTGCTACCCGCTTCCAGCTAACAGCTACTTTTGCCAAACACGCCCATCATCCCTCAACTGTGTACCACCATTCTGCCTTCTTCCACCTCCACTCCATCATATCTTTTCCACTATTACTACAACAACCGCACAATCGGACTACCGTCTCACCACCATTGCACCTTCAAAAACCCTAGCTGTCACAATAATTGCACCTGTGTCAGCCACCCCCAACCTAGAAATGCAGCACCTGTATTCATCATTTCGATTTGTTTATGCAGATAGGTTTATGCCTTGATGAGACGTCCTGCAGCTTCTGACGAAGAAAAACCTCCGACACAACTTGAATTGAAAGAGTTGGAGCTCGAATTTGAATAATGATAGTTACATTCCCCCTAGAGATTACATAAGCAAATGATTAAAGTTAACTGATATTTAGACCACTTGGCCAAAGCACACCCAGCTCCACCGAGTTCATCCCTTAAACAACGAGATCTTGTTGTCTGACGGAGTGAAGATTCGCAAGGATAACAGTTTCCCGGTGAGAGAGGGAGGGGCTCTACAAATAAAATAACATTTAGTGGTACAAAGTTTTAGTGTCATAATAATTTTGTGCCACTATTGTTATGTTTTAGTGGCACATTTTAAAGAATGAAAAAAACCTTGCGCTCACTCACAAAAATGAAAGGAATGATTTGTCCAAAAAATTTAAAACCTCTGCTTTTATCCGCAAAATCTTAAAAAGGGAAAAAAGCCCTCGCTCAAATGAAAATCGGAAGCTCCCTGATCAATTGCTCTCCATCTCTGTCTTCTCGATTCTACATATCATCATCCCTAAACGCATTCCATTATCTTCTGCATTTCTCAAAAGGGGTTAGAAGAATGGGAAGTTGATTTTAATTCAACTCCTGCTTGGTTTTTCTTGTTCATATATGTCGCTCTTTTTTCCCTTCTTAAAAGAAATTCATACTTCTTTTTCTCTCTCTTCTTTTAGACGACCACAATGGAGGGAGGATGAAGCAAGATTATGTTATAGAGGTGGTTGTCAGGGAGGCGGTTGTGAACGGAGTGACAATGATTATGGCCATGACCATCAATCGATGACTGTACGTATGGATTATTTCCTTCTCAAAACTTTTCTCAGTATCTAGCCCTAACTTCGTACATTGATTTTTTTTTTTTTTTTTTTGAGTTTGTTAATGTTGTAAAGATGGTTTTGGTTTTGATATCCGGCATTAATAGTAAATTCAATTTAACAAACATAATTATTATTTATCCCCTTCTATTGCAATAATCATTTTGTATAGGTTTTGATATTGGGAGAAAGAAATTATATAATTGAAGAGAAAGGAAAAGAAAATCCCCCATTTAAGTTTTGAATATTTTTCTCTCCTTCGTTTTTTCGGATTAATAGTTTAATATCCTTATTTCTTAATTTTTTTTTCTTGAAATGTGAAAAGAAATTTAACAATCAATATAAGGCAACAATAGGAGTGATTTCTTGAGAAAATAAATGGAATTTGAGGATAAACGATTCACTCTACAGGTTAGTTGTTAGTGATGCTTATTTAATAGAGATGCATATCCGTTTGAAAGCATTATAAACTTGGTTATGTGGGTATTAATCAGAAACATAAAAAGAGATGTAATTAAATATTGTGACAAACTTGAAAAGGTTTAGGCTTTAAAATTCTAATTTCTTGATTCTCACTACCGATTAGGAATATATTATTAACCCAAATATAATCCCATGTAAACTGGTTAAAGTTTTTTCTTCTATGTACATCTAAATATCAATCTTTCACCACTCCCATGATACCATCTCTAACATCATATACACGGTAGCTAAAGAATTCATTCAACCTCTAAATCAAATAAAGTTATGATGGAAAGTTAGTTATAAAATAGTCCTAATTCATTATTGAAACTAACACAGGCCATGATGTACAACACCATGATTACATTTTTTTTTTTATATTCTTGCTTGTTTTTCTTGCAGAAACTTACCTATTAGTACACGAAGAAGATTGATCCATCTTCAAACAACGCTGCTTAACTGTGGTAAAGTATTTTGGATTATTTATCAGCATTAATAACTTTCTATAATGATAATAACTTTTATTATAATTGGTTTTGTTTTGTAGTATTTCCTACAAGCTATTTCAAATTATTCCGCAAACACACAAGGGTCAAAAGACTATGCAAATGATGATCTGCTTTGTTTTCTAATCTTTCATACTAGCACAACATTTAGATTTATTAATTTTTAAAGTCATTTGTATTTTATGTATTGAGAATATTAATGTTAGAGAAATTAATTTGAACTTAAGTAAAGATTTTGTGTTTTTCCATTTAAATTTAAAAAAAAATAAATAGACCTAATTATCAAATATAAATATTTTATGATAATAGAAAATATCATAAAAGCATAAAGATTGCTTTTTATTTTACCACTTATAGTATCATTAAAGAAGTTTTACAAAAACCAAAAGTGTGATAGTGGCATAAAAAAAAGTGTCGCTAAAATCCAAAGGGCTGCAACAACATAACCAAAAAGTGCCACTAAAAGCTTTTAGTGGGAGCGCTTCTAGTGACGCTTCTTTTTTATGTCGCTGATTGTAAATGGGAGTTTTAGTGATACTTTTTTATTTATTTTTAGTGACACTTTTTTGTGCCACTAAACATCATTTTATTTGCAGTGGGGGGACTCACCTGACCAAATGCCCACAAACGGATTTGAGAACCGCCACTGATACCGTCAATGCTTAGACTCACATAGCAGCAAAACTTAAGATCAAGGGGGTGATCTTTGGGTGAGTGTTTTCAATCTGGTAGGTAATGGAATGGAAGCACGATGTGTGTGTATGTGTGAGAGAGAGAGAAAGAGAGGTGGATCCAAATTAATTAATTATTTTCTTTTTCAATTAAATTAAATAGAAATATATCAGAATGGTATTATAGTCATTTCAATTTTACGAGGGATCAAATCTACGTACAAACATGGCCAAAAGGACCATGAAGTCAAAAAAGTCAGGATTTAAACTAAAATCTCAAAAAATTCATACCACAAGGGACTATTTTTGCAATTTTGTCATATATATATATATATAGAGAGAGAGAGAGAGAGAGAGAGAGATAGATAGAGAGAGAGAAAAAAAAAAAGAGTTAGGATCATATATAATAATCAAATATTGTATGAATGTATGACTGTTTCTGAACCACTCATTTGATAAGGATATAATTGAAATTTTAACGTTATATAATTATGGTAATTTAGATAATTATGATAAAAAATTAAATAAATTAACAATCCTATAAACTAGGCATATTAGTTTCATATATACCGTCTTGGAAAAACCCTCCCTCTCCACCACCGTAGTTGGAAGTGCCGCCTCATCCTAACATCTCCCTCCGATCGTCTTCCTCCTCCAACGTCCTCCAATGCCGGTAAGTTTTTTTCCTCTTTCGTTTTCATTCTTGAACAATTATTTTGCTTGAATGATTCCTAAATCATCTTTTTGTTGTCTTTTATGAACGGTTTTGAAATCATTTTTTTCATACTTGAACGATTATGATTTCATTAAGATTGTTTGTAGCCTTAAAATCAATTCATCAAAGCTGGTTCATTAATTCTTATGCAATATATTAATAATTTCATAATCTTCGATTTTTTTGTGTGTTTCTCGTAACCTAATTAGTCTATTGGTTATACCTAAAACTATAGGTTTCACGGCAATTACATGTCCATGTTCCTCTATTTAGCTATGATACATTAATCGATGGATTGGTGTTATGTTTTTTTTTTTCCTATATGTTGATGCTTTTGAATTAGAATTTATTTTTGAAAATATGTTTTTACTTTTAATGTATACTTTCTCAAATACTTATAAGTTAATTTAATTATGAAAAACATGGACAGTTGGGAAAAAGGGGAAAAGCTTGACAATAGCTAAAAGACAAGTATTTGGATGAACTTTTAAGAATGTAAACGATGGAATGAATTTGGTATTGAAACAGATTGTGTATATATGTTTACTAATATAATGTATATTTGAAAATTGCAGGCATATTGTTAAAATAGCTTAGCAATATCGAAGAACAGAATATTGGTTTTGAAAAACCATTGAGAGATGAAGTGGAAAAGTTTTTAGATAAGGCAATTGATATTTTTGTTATTGTTTTAGAATGTTGTTTATTCCATTCTTACATATTAGCATTTTTTTTATGCATGTCATAATATAATTGAACTGATACTGAAGTATTTTATCATATATTCTAAAAGAATAAGGACACATGTGTAGAGCTAGGCGTTGATTTATCTTCTCATGGAAATTTCGGTTTAGTGTCTACAAAACATTTCCAGATCAACGCATTCAAGAATGATGATAGATTCTTAAAAAATTTAATATAAAAGATTGTGTATATTTTTCAAAATGGTATATATATATATATATTCTTGTTTTATGTTATGAATTCTTTTTATGTTAGAAGAACGGTTATTGTTTTATAATGCATTCTTAATTATATTGAAACACATTTGTTTTAAAGAATGATATATTATTGTGTAATATATACAAATGTATTATTTAAGAATGTTACTTTTCAAAAAATTGTATTCTTTAAGAATGAAGGAATGATTTTTTTTTTTTTTGGAAATCGTATTCTTTAGGATTGAAAAAAAGAAAAAATGTGCTAATATACAATGTGTATTTTTAAGAATGTTACTTCTAAAAAAATTATATTCTTATGAAATGAAACAATAAAAAACTATTGAATCTCAAAAAATTGTATTTTTATAGAATGCAACAATAAAAATCTATTAAATAAGTTCACATTCTTTAAGAATAAGGGAATCAAAATACGTGTTCATAATTGTTGAATGAATACGTATTCTAAAAAAATATGTTTTAACTTAAATGTGTTGAATAAAATATGAGATTTGATTTTTATTAATTGATTTTAATTAGTTGCTTAAAATATAGATTATTTTCAATTCTCTCTCTTTAGTTACCTTATTTATTTAATAATAGAAATTATATGGTACGTGGTAGTCCGTGTTAATAACATGCACCTGATGATCACATTCATTCATTCTTTTTAATCTAGTGACCAGAATTTTATCACACATTTACATAATAATTATGATTCACATTTGATCCTATATATATATATATATATATATATATATATATATATATATATATATATATATATATATATAACCCGTGGACATATAGAGGTCCATGACTTTCAGAATTACCACAGCAAGTCGCAACCCAACCACTTCTGATTACAACACTTGTAATCTCTCAATCAATCTTCCGACTTTAGCAATTTTCTACTTTATATAAAATCATCTTATATTAAAACTTACTTAACATCTTAAAAACAAAATAGAGTATTTTAAGAGGGTTTCTCTGCACTCAATGACGTAGTTGTCTAACCCTTATGAAGCGCATACTCCGCTGTAATCGTGCTTGTTCGACTATGCTTACACTTTACACTCAAAAAAGGAATCACTCGAATAAATTCGCTTGGACTTGGTCTCTGTCTGAATCATCTAATTATATAACCCTCGAGCAAAAAGCAGCCAGCATAAATCCTCCTATTTTCATTTGACTCTTTCATAGCTAGCTGACCCACACGTTTGTATCTCGGTTTAAAAGTTACAACTGGGATGCATTTATCGTATGCAAGGTTGAGAATACAATAAATATAAAAAGTGCAATATTACTGTTAGTCAATGTTGACCATGTATTTTAGGAGAATAAAAAGGCACGTTGAGTTGTTGAAGAACGTTGCTGTGTTTTCTGATTTTCTGTCATTTTTAGCCTATTTAAGTATCTTAGTTTAGCTTCATTTAAGATGCAATCTCTGTAACAGCTTTCAGTCACTTTAATAAAGCATTAAGCATTCGGCTACTTTTCATTCCTCTTTTACCCCTGTTACTAAATTAGCCCTACCTACCAACAAGTGGTATCGGAGCTTAAAGGTTCTGATCATTTGTATGCCCAAGATTATTAGATACGACACCATGACAGTAGCTTCAACATCCAATCCACCCAAAGACAGCCCATACCCCCTTCAATGCCCGATGCTAACCTCATCAAATTACAATACATGGTCGATAAAGATGGAATCTATTATGGATGCCCATGGTTTGTGGGATGCCATTGAGCCACCAACCGGTGAGGTTGTGGATGAGAAAAGGAGTAAGCAAGCTCGAGCTTTCATCTTCCAGTCGATCCGAGAAGAGATGCTTGCACAGGCAACAAAGAAGAAGATAGCCAAGGAGGTTTGGGACTCTCTAAAGTCACGGTATGTAGGTGCAGAGAGGGTCCAAAAGGCAAGGTTACGGGTACTGAAAAGCGAATTCAAGGCACTCCAGATGAAGGAAACAGAGACCATAGATGAATATGCAGGGAAGCTATCTGCTATGATTTCAAAGTTTGGAAGTGCAGGGGCAATTCTGGAAGATGAAGAATTGGTAAGGAAGCTATTCGATACTATCCCGGAAAAGTTTATAAATCTTGTGGCATCAATTGAGCAAAGCTCCGATATGGAGTCTATGCCATTTGAGGAGGCAATTGGGCACTTAAAGGCTTATGAAGACCGACTCCGGCTCCGGAAGGCAAACTCAGGTGGTGATAATGCCCTGTTACTTGCAAAATCGGAGGGCTCCACAAGTCATCGAAGTCCAAGCAAGACTGGGGGTCGGGGGAGAGGTACAAGTAGTGACAAAGGTGGAAGAGGTGGTTCACGGGGTCGGGGGTCGACTCGTGGAAGAGGCGGACGTTCTGGTGGTAGTTCACGACAGGAAGCAAATAACTCCAACCGGAAGCCACGAGACAAAAGCCATATAAGGTGTTTCGAGTGCCAAGAACTCGGCCATTATGCTTCTGAATGTAAAGCCATGAAGCAGCAAGATTAGGAGGTGAACTTAGCTGCAGATGAAGATAGACCTGCCCTGCTATTAACTGTACATGGAGAAGAAGAAACAAGTATGGTTCTTCTGAATGAGGAGAAGGTGTATCCGAACCAATTAAAGGAAAGAGAAGATAACAACATGTGGTACCTAGACAATGGGGCTAGTAACCACATGATTGGTTCTAAAGATTTATTTGCAGAATTAGATGAAAAAGTGACTAGACAAGTAAGATTTGGAGACGGTTCTAAGGTTCCTATCAAAGGAAAAGGAACTTTACTGTTTAATTTCAAAAATGGTGATCAGTTCATTATCCCAGGTGTATATTATATCCCAGCTCTACATAGCAATATAATAAGCCTGGGACAGATGACTGAGGAGGGATATGATATAGGAATGAAGAGGGAATTCCTGAGGATGTATGATGAAGCTGGGTGTTTGATCATGACGGTACAGAGGTCAAGAAATAGATTATATAAGATAAAACTCACACCTGGGAAACCTACGTGCTTGGCTGTGAGTATGGTTGATGACTCATGGCTATGGCATGCACGTATGGGCCACACAAATTTCAGAATGCTGAAAGAGATGACATGAAAGCAGATGGTGACAGGAATGCCTCTAGTAACTCATCCAGCACAGGTGTGTGAAGGATATATTATAGCTAAGCAATCTAGACAAAGCTTTCCAAAGTTGGCCCAATGGAGAGCTAAGGAACCGCTTCAATTGTTACACACAAATCTTTGTGGACCCATCACACCTGCAACAAAGGGCGACAATCAGTATTTTTTACTAATTGTCGATGATTATTCCTAATACATGTGGGTGTACCTGATCAAAACCAAAGACGAGGCGTTTGGGATGTTCCAGAAGTTCAAATTACAAATAGAGAAAGAGAGTAGCTATAAGATCAAGATGCTAAGAACCGACCGTGGGGGAGAATTTAACTCCAACCAGTTCTTGGAGTTTTGTGAAGGAGCTAGAATACGACGACAACTAACGACTCCACATATGCCCCAGCAAAATGGCATAGTGGAACGCCGCAATCGAACGGTTCTGGAGATGACGAGGTCGCTACTCAAGGCCATGACGATGCCAGATCAATTCTGGGGTGAAGCGGTGAGACATTCGGTGTATTTGTTGAACAGGACTGGAACAAAAGCACTCAAGGATGTGACTCCATATGAGGCCTGGAAGGGTTCAAAGCCGTTGGTTGAACACCTTAAGGTTTTTGGGTGTATAGGCTTTGTCAAGAAATTGCGAGGCTTAACCAAGCTAAGTGACCGGAGTGAGACTATGATTCATTTGAGGGTTGAAGAAGGAACAAAGGGGTATCGGCTGTACAATCCCATAAATTGCAGAATTGTAATTGCAAGAGATGTCGTGTTTGAGGAATCCAAGAAGTGGGCCTGGAATGAGGAATTAACTGGAGAGCCACTTACCACACCTTATTGGACTAATGTTTTAGCCCAAGATATAAGCCAATTACAGCCGGCCCAAGAGCAGCAACCATCAGACGACATGAATCAAATTCCCTTGAGTCCGATGAACAATCACCCACATGCCTTTGATTTTGGAACGAATAGCTCCTCTGTTGGAGAATCGCCTTTGTCAATCTCACTTGGAGATGGGTCGCGAGAAACACCCTCAAGTCAATCCTCAAGAAATTATGAAGATGGTGGGTCAGCAGCCTCATTCGATGATACCTCGGCAAAAGGATTTCGCTCAATTAACGAAATCTATTTGAATACCGAAAGAATGGGTGATGACGAGGTACAGAGGCTGTATGAGCAAAATCAAGAACTCTACTGATCGATGACGAGCCCACAACTTTTGAAGAAGCGTCAACCAAAAGTAATTGGAAGATAGCTATGGAGGCAGAACTGAAATCGATCGAGAAAAACAATACCTGGGTGTTAACCAAATTGCCACCAAACCGAAAGGCAATAGGGTTAAAATGGGTATTCAAGTTGAAAAGAGACGCAGAAGGGTAACGTGATCAAGCACAAGGCCCGATTAGTCGCCAAGGGGTGTGTTCAAGAAAAGGGTGTCGATTTTGAAGATGCTTTCGCACCAGTGGCTCGTTTGGAAACTATAATGTTAATTCTGGCGCTAGCAACAAGAGAAAAATGGCTGGTACATCACTTAGATGTCAAGTCTGCATTTTTACACGGTGACCTCAAGGAGGAGGTGTACGTCTCATAGCCAACTGGGTTCTCGGTCAAAGGAAAGGAGAATCTGGTCTATCGTCTCAGAAAGGCACTATACGGATTAATATAGGCTCCAAGAGCCTAGAATATGAAGCTAGATCAGTCACTCAAAGGACTAGGATTCACCAGATGTGCTCAAGAACAAGCAATCTATAAGGTACACAAATCCAATTTAATCCTCATTGTAGGAGTATATGTGAATGACCTTATAGTTACTGGCTCAAGTGAGAAAGGAATTCTAGAATTCAAGAAAAGAATGAAGCAATTGTTTGACATGAGTGACTTGGGACTTTTATCCTATTACCTGGGAATAGAAGTACTTTAGGGGAAGGATGGTATCATGCTCACACAGCAGGGGTATGCAAAGAAAATCCTAAAGTTGGCAGGAATGAAAAAGTGTAACAACTCACAGTATCCAATGGAAGCAAAGTTAAGGCTAACCAAGGATGAACAGGGAGAACCTGTAAATGCGACAAATTACAGGAAATTGGTTGGCAGCCTAAGGTATTTAGTACATACAAGACCCGATTTGAACTTCAGTATTGGAGTTGTGAGCAGATATATGCAGAACACAAAGCAAAGCCACTATGCAGCCATAAAACATATCCTAAGATATGTGAGAGGAACAACCGGGTATGGCCTAATGTATCACAGAGGGGGTGATGGCATGCTAGTAGGATACAGTGACAGCAGCTACAGTGATGATCGGGAAGATGGAAGAGGAACCACAAGTGTGGCATATTATTTCTCAGGAAATTTAATAACATAGGCCTCACAAAAACAACAAACTGTTGCTCTAAGCTCGTGTGAGGCGGAATACATGGCTGCAACTGCAGCTGCCTGTCAGGGATTGTGGTTGAGAAATTTGCTAAGTGACCTTGTTGGAAGAAAAGCTCAAAAGGTGAAGCTACTTGTGGACAATCAATCTGCTATTTCTCTTATAAAGAATCCAGTTTACCATGGGAGGAGTAAACATATAGATACCAAATACCATTTTATTCGTATTTGTGTTGAAAGGGAACAGATTAATGTGGAGCATGTAAGTGGGGACCAACAAAGAGCTGGTGTATCGACAAAAGCAATGCCACAGATCAAATTTGCTGAGATGAGAAAGCTGATAGGTGTTGAGGACCTGAAGAAGAAGGTCAACATTGAGGGGGAGAATGTTAGTCAATGTTGACTAGGTATTTTAGGAGAATAAAAAGGCACGTTGAGTTGTTGAAGAACGTTGTTGTGTTTTCTGATTTTCTGTTATTTTTAGCCTATTTAAGTATCTTAGTTTAGCTTCATTTAAGATGCAATCTATGTAACAACTTTCAGTCACTTTAATAAAGCATTAAGCATTCGGCTACTTTTCATTCCTCTTTTACCCCTGTTACTAAATTAGCCATGCCCACCAATAATTACCAAGTCCAGTTTGATGTTCGGTTAAGGAAAGTCCAAATTCTGTTTTTATTATGTTGACTTCGAGTTTTCATTTTCACCTTTATTTTGACACTTACACCTATTATATGATTTTAATAAGCTAAAATATACAAGATACATCATTTAAGTTTTAAAGCAGTTGATGCTAGTCAACGGTTATAACTCGCTTCTAAAGCAAACTCGGTTCTATATATATCGACAGAAAAGCTGCTACCACCATAACCATACATATTAATCCATCACCAATATAAAGATCAATGTCTTCATCAGAGGTAAACCTAGAAGAATGTCGAATTCCACTTGAGGAGATCATTCGGGCCACACAAAACTTCAGTTCAGACAATTGGGTCGGAGATGGTGGATTTGGTAACGTGTACAGAGGACAACTCTTTGAACGCTGGACAAACCACTTAGTAGCTATCAAACGCCTTGATCGTAATAGTTATCAAGGAACCAACGAGTTCGCTAAAGAACTCAACTTGGTTTCAAGTTTCAACTATCCAAACATCATCCCATTTTTTGGCTACTGTGATGATGCAAACGAAAAAATTATAGTTTTCAAGAGACGTTGTCTAACATGGGAACAACGCTTGAAGATATGTTTGGGGGCAGCAAAAGGAGTCAAGTACCTTCACTCGGGTGTTGAGGAGCACAACAGAGTAATTCATACAGATTTCAAGAGTGCAAATATATTGTTAGATGATAATCTCGAAGCCAAAATATGTGATTTTGGTTTGTCAAGATTAAGTCCAAGAAATCAGCCAGGATACCCATGTCAGTACAAGAGCTGCTGGTACAAGGTTTTACATGGATCCGATATACAACGAACGAGGTATGCTCTCTAAGGAGTCCGACATATACTCATTTGGAGTGGTAATGTTCAAGATATCTAGTGGGATGATGGCTTATCATGCAAGGCGGTTTGAAGATACTAACGAACTATATCTGATCGACCTCGTCCGAAGCTACTATGATGATAATGGACTTGTTGACGGACTTGAAAAGTTAATAGATCCCATTATCAGAGCTCAAATTGATATGAGTTCCTTTGAAAAATTTAATGAAATTGCACATGAGTGCATTAACGTGGACGTAAGGAAACGCCCTATGGTGGATAGGATCATCAATACAATTGCGGATGCATTAAATATTCAAGTAAGTCTTTTGTTATACTTATTTTGAAGCAAACAAATTTTCATAGCAAGAATGAAAACTATAATGCATATGATAAATTATTTCATTCAAGCCTCTATATCGTAAGTACTCTCTCCTTAGCTTGTTATCTAGTTGAAACACCTGATTGGAGCCTTGAAGGTCGCGATTCAAGGTCGAAGGTTGTGGTTCAAGGTCAAAGGCCGCAATTTCTGAAGAGAGAGGTGTTGTCGTAGTTAAAGGTTACATTTCATGAACAAGAAGGTCGTTGAATACTGTATTTTTAAGAACAAAAGAACAAAGATGAGAGAAAATGTTGTCTTTTCAAAGATATCCTAGGGATTATGATATCTTTACCAAGAATAGAATCGTTGCTTGCCATCAATGGTTATGATTGAAAATGAGGCCGGAGTAAAATCGATTTCAATTCCCGCTTTCAATTTTGCTTTCAATCGTTTTAATTTGGAATAAAATGTATTCTGGTTTTAAACCTAAACAAGAAATTAGGCCATACCTACCGGTGTACTACTATTTAAGCCTAAAATTATTAGGCCCCTGGTGGAGGGGAGGATGGACCCTGTTCATAAGCACTCCTTGAACTTGCATTGGGCCGGCCCTGATATATATATATATATATATATATATATATATATATATATATTATATTATATATATATATATATATATATATATATATATATATATATATATATATATAGGGTGAGCAAAAACCACATAAACCGCAACCGCAATAAAGAATGATGGTGTGGTTCTCTGTTTTTCAAAAACCGCAAATTTGTGGTGTGGTGCGGTTATTAGTTTTCAAAAACCTCAAAAAAAAAAAAATTACATCGCACCGCATATATTATATACACTTTTTTTGTTAATTATTAATATACTAAATATTAAAAATAAGATAAGTTTTATTGATTAAAGAAGGATAAAATTCTAGAAGACAAAAGTGTGGGCTTTTCATATGTTTAACTTTGGAAAATTGTGACAATTTTAATATATTTATTGTTAATTACTAGTGATTTAAAGTTTTTAACACATTAGTTGCTTGTAATTTAAGTTAATTGTTTTATACCTTATGTTTTTTTCTTATTAAAAGTTATATGTTTAAACTCTAAAGTGCGGTTAAAAACCACACAAAATAACCACACCAAATCCATACAATTAATTACGAAACACACAATATACAAAACCGTACCGCAAAAATAACCGCCTTACCGCACCGCAAAAATAACCGCACCAAACGGTTTTGAAAATGGATTAACCGCATTTGCGGTTAGTGGTGAGGTTTTTGCCAATAACCGCACCGAACCGCACCGCTA